TAATACTGGATTGACCCCAATCAGGGTTGCTCCCGCGACTCCTTCAGGGTCTATTGCAACTTCACGGCAGGGGGCGAGACCTGCGTGTTCCCCAGCCCGGAAGCTCGAGAGGTGAGCGGTTCCCCAGCCAGGAGGCTCTGGACAGAGAGGCTGGCATGGCCCGGGGGTCGCGGGGAGCCTGATGATCCCTGACCCCAACTGGCCACAAATGCTGAACGCGGATGGCACCGTTTCCGCCATTTGGGGTGGGCAATTTATGAAAATCAGGGCGAGCCCTGAAAGAGTGCAGGTTGCTCCACTCAGAATGTTAAGCTGGCCCTTCTGGAGGGGTTGCCTAGCCCTGCCTGGCCCCTCTTCTCGTCCGGCCTGTCTGAGCCCCGCTGCATTGCTCCAAATGGCTGCAGTTGGCACCAGCCGGTCTGTGCTGTGTGCCAGAGCAGATGGGCAGAGCTGCTTTTCAGGGCGAGGCGGCTTTTGCCTTGACCCTCTTCCAGGGTGTGTTTTGGCTTCCCAGTCTAGGCTGCAGCTCTGGGGTTCCCTCTTGGTCTCCCATCCAGGTACTAATCGGTTTAGTTTCCAAGTGCAGACTTTGCCTGATCCTGAACTCAGAGAGAGGGGGATCCCTTTGAATGGGGAATGGCGGTGGTGGGTCGCAGCCCCATGGATCAAGGGCCGTGGGGGCTGGACCCCTTCCGAAAGCCAAGCGGGAGAGTTTGCCTTTGGGACCAGCCGCAGCGAGGCCCCGCTCCTCCCGTGGGCCTGCTCTCTCCTTGGGTGGGAGACCAAGCCACGGGGTGGGGGAGGGCAGCTTGTCCAGACTCCTCCTGGCTCAGGAAAGACCCCCCAGTCCATCTTGGCGTCTTCCCCCGGAAGGCTGGCCCTTCAAGGCGCAGTGCTGAGAGTTTCCGTTTGCAGGTGCCGATGGCCGCGTGGGAGGAGGAGACGCCGCCGAGCTGGTTCAGCCAGTTCCAGCAGGGCCGTCGGGTGAGTCCCCTGGCTGGGGGGCCTTGGGGGGGCCCTCCTCCTCCTCTCCCGCCTCGCTCTTTGGAGAAGGGCAGCTGGGACGAGGGGTGCGTCCTTGTTCTGCACCCGAGTCGTTGCAGGACGGAGGGCGGCCAGGATTCCCTGGGCCGGAGGGGTGGTGACCTTGTTTGTTCTTGGGGGGGGCCTTTTTACTCCGGGGGGAGGAAGAGGGCTCTCCGCCAGGAAATCCTTCTGTGCAGAAGGGAGGGACTGCCAGCCATCGGGGCGAGGCAGCGGTTCAGTCCTTGCGCTGTGGTTGCACAACACCCCGAACTTCACCCTGAAGAACCTCGTGGCAACCTTCGCGAAACTTGCCAGGCCCGGAAGGGGTTAACGTGGGGGGCAGTTTTGCCTTCTTTTGCCTTTCTTGGAACTTGGTGGCTGTGTGAATGCAATCCATTTGGCTAGCTAAGATTCAGGGCAGGGCACCGACCCAGAACATGGTGAATTTGGTTCCCTAGTTCAGGGTCTTGTGCGAAGGCATCCGTGCAGGGAGGAGGGGAGGGGAGGGGGACCCCGAGGGCGGACAACGGAACCCCCGGAATGGACTTCCTGAGTCCATCCGGCCCACCGTCCCGCTCGGGGTCCAGCGTCCAGCCCAACCTCTGCATGAAGGCAGCCCCCGCCCCAGCTCCTTGGCTCCCCCGTTCTGCTTGGCGGAGTTTTCTCGGCAAGGGGGAGGTGGGGTGGCTGCCTTACCCCCCCGTCCCTCCGCAGTTCTCCTACGTGGACGCAGACGGGCGCCCGCTGGGCGTGGTGCAGCTCTCCTTCCTGCGCCTGCTGAGCACCTTCGCCCGGCAGAACTTCACCTACCACTGCGAGCACTCGGCCGCTTGGCACAGGCACGGCTCCCCCGTGGGGGGCTACCAGCATGCCCTGCGCTTCCGGGGGGCCAACGAAGAAGACCTGAGCTATGACAACAGTCCCTACATCAAGGCCCTGGCAGATGGCTGCGCGGTAAGTCCCTGGGGAGGGAGGGAGGGAGGGGGAAGGACCGCCCGGTGCTGGGCGCGGGATCCTCAGCCAGCAAGGGCAGGAAGAAAGAGGGCTTGCCCTGCGCCTTCCCATCCCCACCCGGCTGCATTCTGTGGGAGCCCCAGATGCCTCCGTTTCTTTCCCCCCCCCGCTGCCGGTCCTGCTTCCCCCACCAGCCCTGGGCGGGTGGCGTGGACGGCTGGTCCCGGGCCCCCCCCTGGCGCCCAGGGGCCCCGAGGTTCAGCGGCTGGAAAGCAGGACTCCCGGCTTTTCTTGGGAGGGGCAGCCACCCTCCCCCAGCAGCGGCCCCTTCTCTGCCTCCCGCCCCAGGCACGGAAAGCGGCTGGCCAGACCATTCTCGAGGTCAACACGCCCCAGGTGGAGCACCTGCCCTTGCTGGACGTGCACGTGACGGACTTCGGTGACCCCAGGCAGCGCTTCGGCTTTGAAGTGGGGCCCACCTGCTTCCTTGGCTAGAGCAGGGCCCCAGTGCAGCGGCCAGGCCCCCCGAGAAGGACCTTCCTGGTGCCCACCAAGCGATGGAGGCCACGGGGGGCAGGAGCAGCCAGAGGCCCAGGAGCTGGGGAGAGATCCATCCCATTGAACTGGGCGCAGAGACCGAGGGGACCTCGCCAGCCCCCATGGGGGCAGTTCTCCCTCCAGTGGTGCTGGGCCTCCCTCTGCTGGATTCTCCACAGGACTCTGACCTCCCTCCCCAGATGCGCCCCATCCTGCTTCATTGCTTCCCTCCCTCCACGCTGACGGGAAAGACCCCCCCCCGCCAGCATCTGGATGACCCCCCCATCCCACTAAACTTCTCCTGAGCCCCATCTACTTCAGTGCTTTCCAGCCCCCCTCCCCCGATGCCAGCGTTGTGCTTGCCTCTTCCCCTTGAAATGGGGGCAGGCTTGGAAATGAGCTGGGGGGCAGTTATGTCCTTTCGCACAGCACCCAAGAATGCCCCCCCATTTCTCTCTTCTTCCACTCCATCCTCCCTCCTTTAACCTGCACAAAAGTAACTGGTCTCTTCTTTAAAAAAAAAGTCAAAAGAAGAAGGAGGAAACCGTATATTTTATTTTGTTTTTATAAAAAAAAATAAATTAATTATATTATTTAATGGAATCAGTATTAAAAAAAGGATTTTTTTTCCTGCTGCAAATTTGTAATCTTGGAAAGGGGGAAATGTGAGCTTGAGAGCCCAGTTCTGGTGCGTGGGAAATTAAGAAATACATTTAATTTTCTCTTGGCCTCCTGCACATTCAAACCTTTGGGGGTTCCTAGAAAGCAGTGGGGGGGCGCCCCGATGCCGAGGCAGATGACCAACCCCCTGGAACGTTTTGCAAGCAAGCGTGGAAACTGTTCAGCAGACAGTCTTTCATTTCGCGGCTCTTTGTGGGCCTGTTATTTTGAGTGCTCCTCTCGCTCCTCCTCTTGCCCTGCTGAAAGGGAGCATCCGCCGCTTGTGGGTTACAGAGACGCTTCCTGCCAACACGGCAAGATTAGCACAGCTGGTAGCTTGTGCCGTTTGGGGGCTGGCAGAAAGTGGCTGCTCCCCCACCCCTTTCAGATGCAAGAGGCACCTTTTCCAGCAGCGATGCCTGGGTGCCATCCCACGGACGGGAAAACCTCCCTCCCGGGAGACAGCCAGGGGTGTATCTGTGCCAAGAGGGCTCTCTGGGCATCCCAGGAGCGCAAGGGAGATGCATCCGCTTTGCTCCTCGCAAGCGATGGCCAGGGCCAGCCAGCTGCACCCAGATCCAGGCTGGCATGGTGTGGAGCATACAACAAATGGGGTCCACCTGTGCACGTGCAAACTGCCTTCCGGAGCCAATCTGGTAGCCGAGTGCGTGCCACCTGGCTGCCTGGAAGAGCAGCCACCGCTGGTCCTTTGCAATGTGCTCCAGGGTTGCGTGACTGCTGAAGCACCAGCTGATGTGCGGAGACCCCTGGGAGGGAAGAGCAACCACAGGGCATCTCACGCCAAGGGCTCCTGCAGGGTAGAGAGGTGGGGGGGCAGAGAGGGCTGGCTATCCGTTGGGGAAGGGGGAGAAGGGCAGGGGCCGCCCTCAGGGGAGGAGGGGGTGCGCTGCAGTGGCCCGCAAGAAGGGGCAGAGGGGCCGAGGCCGGCCAAAGGAGCGGCTGTCGCTGCATCCTGCGGGGGAGTCTGCACCTTGCATGAGATGGTTTTCTCCTTGGGTCCTCTCGTTACCTGTCTGGACTGGAATGGCGTACCTGGCACCCAAAATATCGCCACCCAGAGTCACCTGGATTGAGAAGGCGGCTACATAAATGGAATAAATAATAAATATTGCTACTGGTCACTAATCAATCCTGTGGCTACGCTCACAGAGCACGCTTGGCTGGATCAGTTTTCTCAGCCGCTGCACTCACAAACAAGCCCGTTAACCTCTTTAGGGGACTAGCCCAGCTTCTGGGCTTGTGTGACGCGCTCCCAAGCCAAGCCCTGAGCGAGGCTGGCCCCAGCCAAGCTCCGCACGGGCCGAGGCAGCTCGCAGGGCAGACCTGACCAGGTGCTGCTGAACCCGGCACCCTCTTCCAGCGCCCCCCGCCCCTCTGCCTTGGCTCCAGGGAGGCCGTCAAGAGTTGCAAGAGTTTATTCGGATCGCCGCGCGGATCGCCGTACAGAGCGCGAAGGGCCGAGGGCCGCCTCAGAAGTTCGGTCGGTGCTTCTTCACCTCAACCATCAGGTGGTGGATGTTGATCAGCTCCGACCGGACAGGAAGCGCCTTGAGGGGGGGCAGCGCCAGGACTTTGTGGAAGCGGTGGTAGTACTGGATCAGCTGCGTCAGCGCTCCCTGCAGGCAGGCAGTGCTCGTGAGCAGCATGGGAGGGCTTGGCCACCCCAGGCCCTGCCTCCCCCGCCCACACCGGAGCCCCTCCCCACCTGGATGATGGTCGTGCCATTCTTGAAGTTGGTGAAGGAGCGCATCACGTCCTGGCTGAGGGCCTCCACGGCCGCCTTCCATGTTGCAGCAAAGCCACGCACCAGCTGCGTCACCCGGGCTGCAGGGCAAGGCGGGCGAGTGAGCCAGAGCCGGGGACCCCCTCCTCCTCCCAACAACTGCACCCCCCAACTTACCTTCCTCCCCTCGCAGGCGGTCCAGCTGGCCCCGCTCAGCCAGCCCCTCCACCTCCTTCACAAAGGCTATCATGCCCCCAAACCCGGGGGCCAAAAGCTCCTCGATGAACTCCTGCCAAGGGAGGAAAGGAGGCCGAGCTCAGCCCTGGCAGGGGACCCCCAGCAACGCCCATCTCAGGGCCTGGGGTGCCCTCCCCACCCCCTCAGCTGATTGAGTGCATCTGCCTAGAGGGGCCATCAGGGACCACAGGGGGTGACAGACACTACGCGTTGCCCAGCACTGCTCGTTGTTCAGTCGTTAAGTCGTGTCCGACTTCGTGACCCCATGAACCATATCGCGCCAGGCCTTCCTGTCCTTCACTGCCTCCC